TCTAACTGCAAGGGCAAATACCCGACACTCAAAATGAAGAAAAGAAAGGTTTATTTAGCTCAGTTACTAGAGGTTTCATATTTGAAAACAGCCTGAATTATGTAGCAAGACATAGAAGCCTTATTTGTTGAGGAGAGAGGGTCAGTGCCTCTGTCTTCTCCAATTTTCTGCCTGCCCCAGGATCCCTCAATCGCAGACACCACTGCCCCATGCTACAGGGATTGGGGGAGAGACTCGGGTGCTACTGTGTCCAGGATGACCAGCTACACACCTCCAAGAAAGGCCGCCAGCCTTGGGGATGCACCAGCTGCTCAAGACCCGCCCTGGTCCTCTGGCTCTGTCCCTCCAGCCTGGAGCCTTGTACTGCTCCTAGAGCTGCATCTACCCAATGACTTAACATGAGGCTTTGGGGGACAGCTGGAAACAAACCATACCATAGGCCAAATGGTGTAAAATTTGAATTTCAGCAACATAACTATCACAAACATATATGTGAAGATAATAATTATTGAAAAAGGGCTATGCATCATTAAGTAAGCATTTTGAGTTTAGGAATGATATCCAGAGAACAATAAGAGAAGCTGAGCCCACAAAGGGAATTGTTGCACAGTAGCAGCACATGGTCATCTGAGTCCTTTTCTTCCCCAGTGATTAAAAACATTTCCTTGGCATATGTCTGTCAAAGACATCTATATGTTCAGGGTCTGCTGGATCCAGAATGGATTTTTACAGCAGGAAGCAGGCAAATCTGTCAGGACCACACCAAATGACAGTGGAGCAAGTTCTCAGGCAGCATGTCTGTATTAAGTGAAGTGAGGTCATGGAGAGAAAGAGGTACGAGAACATGAGCTTTTCACTGGGAAAGATTCTCACATGAATTATACTCAAATTGAATGAATCCTTCCCCTGCTCAAGTTCACTCTGTGTGGAGAAGGAAGACTACAGTTGATATAGCAAAGCTTCTTTGGAGTCTCAAGTTCATAGTACAACTGAAGATCACAAGAAAATCACTGTCCCTGAAAGGACTGAAGCACCCACCCATCTTTCTCACTCTTGTACCTTCAGGGTACAAGACATAAGAGGATCTCTGTGTATTTCAGGGTAACTTGGGCTACATACTGAAGTAAGGGCCAAAATGATATGATAGGCTGTCTTAGTTACACTTCTCTAACTGCAAGGGCAAATACCTGACACTCAAAATGAAGAAAAGAAAGGTTCTCCCCCACGCAAAGCAGTCCCCAGACTCAGCATGATAATCCAGTGCTGCCTGAGTAGCCCCAGTCTCCTCCCACAGGAGTCTTCCCTGATCATGGGGTTCTTGGCTCTGCTCCACTGACTGGTGGCAGCTTCCTGCTGTGAGTGGCTCTGTGTTTCAGGAGCGGGACCTGGGCACAGGGTGTCTGGTCTGTTTGACTGATGGTGCATAGTTTGACACTCAGGTCCCCCTCCTAGATGTGGCAGCATTGCTGCCTCCTCATTTTAAGGAAGAGCTTTCCTCTTTTTCTCTGGCTCCTGGTCCCTTCTTCCATCATCAAACACTTCAGTTAGGCATCTGGTCTCAGTCATGACTTCAACTCCTTTCTCTTGTGCACTGTCCATCTCCTGCCCCTTTCTGATGAGGCACAGCCTTATAATTGAGCATGCACTGCCATATTCATATCCTTAAATTCTTTCTCAATAAAATTAACAAGAAAAATCACATAGGTGCAAATCTGTGTCACAAAAACTGTCATTTTCAGATTCCATTGAAAATAACTGAGATGATATTGTGCGCCTCACCAGCCCAAATGCCCATAAACCAAGGAATGGATAAAAAAGTGTTGTGGTATTTTTATAAAGTGGAGTATTACTCAGCTATAAAGAAGGATACATCTGAGGCCTTTATAGGTAAATATTTGATCCCTGAGACCATATGCAAAAGGGAAATAAATCTGACTCACTTGTGTAAACATCATATTGTCTCCCTAGTGCAAGAAGCCAAAAGAATGAGTAAGACCTAGAAGATACAAATAATAATGCAAAAAGGAAAAGAACTGGGATAAGAGAAGGGAGAAAGGAAGGGAGAAAAAATATATTTATATGTTTACATAAGATAGTTAAGGTATTTAAATTCTATGTGATAAAAAAATGGCTTGGGCTTATATTGTTTGGTGAGTTTTGCATGCCTATATCTTTTAATCTGAGCAAATACCTTCAAGGTAACAATATGTCATGTATTATCCATTGCCAATTTCCTATTATTTTCTTTAAAAAGAAAAACAGAAAATGTAGTCCGTGTTTACTCCCTCTTACCCAGGAGGATCAGGGCCTCAGGTACACTCAGGATTCCGGGAATGGAGCCTCCCTTCTGTGGAAAGAACCATGGGTGAAATCAGACCTCCTGGGTTGGCACAGCTCTGGATATTCATGACTTCTCAAGTTAGGACAACTTTAATTTTTTTGCGGTGGTGGGGGACACAAAACAGTTTTATGTCTCCTTAGTAAAATTAGCTTATTCTAATAAATTCATTTTCTGTATTCAATTGAATAAGCTTATGTGACACATAAATTGAGTGCATGCAAGGGCCAAATTTAAGATAATGGAATTATTGCTGGATCCTGAAACATACATGGAGTAACACACAGGAGGTGTTAATTGCAGCTGAATATAATTTTCCTGTCTGAGGTGGTGATGAATACACACAGAGCTGATGACCGTGTGTCATCAGAGTCCGGTTCTTCCCTTCCTGTTCCTTCCTCAGGCTTCTTTATGAATCCAGAGAAACCAGCTCATTCAATATTCCAATAATCCTACTCTATTTCTACTATTGATGACCAAAGCTCATAGCAATATGCAGAAGTGTGAACAACAAGATTTTGACTGTTGAAGATAGTAGAGAATGATCTAATTTCGACTTTATAATGGACCTCAAGACAGACAAAGTTGGGAGCTTCGTCTCCACATGCTGCCTAGAATTGACTATTCTGCACACAGTTTCCCAGATGATGAGGCCATCTGTGCTAAAGGAAGTCTCAGGGACCTGCATGGTAGACTGTTCCAATTCATGAAAAGAGTGATGCTGTGAGGGATCTTACTGTCAATCTTACAAGTCATGATCCAGCCCAGCTGTCAGAATCCCAGTTTGAGGTGCAGTGTGCACCATCCTCAGGGCCGACTGGGCATGAGGACAAGGTAGCTTCTCTTTGAATTATTTCTGTGAGATGACATGCACACACATGCAGAGACACTGCATGGAGGAACCTGTTCATACAGGATCTGACAGGGACATATCCATTGTCCCTCCATGAGACACCATCTTTCCCCTCTGCTTGTCACAGAAAGACCAGCACTGAACTCACAGGAATCATCTTCTGCTTTCTCCATAAAGACACAGTCTTCTTGGAGGCATGAATACCTGTCCTGGTCCAATCTCATCCTGCATGACAAGAGACACAGGAGAATCTTGTCTCTTGTAAGGGCAGCCTCCCAGCTTTCATGTCCGCCAAGCACAGGACACATGTGACCCTTAGTGTCCTAAGACCCAGGTCCTGAATACACAGCTGTTATTACACAGAGATCAGACAGAGAACCCAGCAGTGACTGTCCATGTGTTGCTCACCACTGACTCGCTCTGCTTGAAACCTTAGCTCTCTAAATAGGGTTAGGAGTTGGAGGATGGGAATGCAGATCTCCAGCTCCTTCTCTCCTGATTGAAAATCCCAACATGGACTGGGTCAGAACTCCTGTGCAGACCAGGGTCAGGCCCAGGCTGGTTCAGGTTTCCAATGCTAACTGCCTCTGCCTGATGAGGTCCTCAGATATACAAATGGTCCTGCCCTCCCCAGAGCCAGATTCCTTCTTTAATTTCTCTATAGTGGTCCTGTTCTAGATCACCCTGAAGGAATCTTGCTCTCTAATGACAACCCCCACACTGACCCTCATGGTGACCTGCTACTTTTCTGGCTTCTCACTAAATTCATATGGTATATGTGTGGCTTGGATCTTTCAGCCCCCATGGGGGTTCTGGAGTGATTGGCAACCATGTATTTGGGTGAGGACTATTTGGAGGATCATAAGTACTGCAGCCCAGCTCTAAGGAGCCAGCTCTTGATCCCCAAAGGTACATGCAGCAAGCAGGTGCTCCAAAGGGACCTTGCAGATACAGCCACATATTACAGCGCAAGTAGTAAATAGAGATTCAGCCTCAGCTTCCTTCTGTATAAGATCTCAGGCTGCATCTCAGCTGATTTCCCTCTGCTCTGCATATGAAGAAAAGTAGATTGTGTCCTTCTTGTAAGCCTCTGTGGATCCCTTCATTCCCAGAAACCAGGGGCCCTGGGTTTCTATTATTTCTTATATTCTAAATGACCTTTTTATCTGTGCATACAAGACAGATGCTATTTTCTGTTTATAAAGGTGCAGGATTGTGGAAGGAAGACAAGGGAAATAAAAGATAAAGAAACTTTGTGAGATATGTATATGTAACCATTCCCAAAGATTTGTAAAGTATTTGAACTGTAAACATGTACAAATAAAATGTAAATGTTTTGAAAGTGTACCATGGGAAGTTCTTGGTACCCAGGCGAAATGGAACACAGGTCTCACATGGTCTGTGACTCAATCCCAGAGATCAACAGAATATAAATCCCCACAATCTAGGCCTTAATTAATGTGCTCATTATGTGATTGGACAAGCATAGCTGTGAAAAAGCCTAGGCTATGTTGCTGAACCTATTTTAGGTGTTATTTGTTATTCATTTAAGACAATATCTGTCAATGTATGAGTTGGGATTTTTCTAAACTCAAACCTCAGTACACTATTTTAATTGCAGCTCTAACACTCTGCCATAGAATAAAGTACATTTAGTTCTTTCTGAGTAAATCTGGGTGTTTAAATCAGATTGGGGATCTATTTTACCAGAATCCCCTGAGGTCCAAGGAAAGATATAATCTCACTCTCTTTGCTTCATTCATCTCTCAGACCAGGGTTTACTGGGCTGAACCCCACGAGTGGCACCCCATGGGTGAGGAAGTTCTTGCAATGGTAAATGAGGAAGCCAAAGAAATGTAAAGTTGGAAGAAGAGAGCTCAAGAAGTGGATGACAAAAAGGGGAATATCTTTGCCTTTGGGATTTTTTTCAGTCCAGACTTTTAGTGGCAGTCTTTAAGGACCAATAAGGTGACTAACATTAAGGACTGAACACAAGTGTTACATCAGGTGTTGCACCAGCTGTTGAGAGGAGTGGATGCTGCTTGTTATGGTTTCAGAACCTGTCATTGGACACAATCTATGATTTCTGGTCAGTAGCACCTTATAACTAGAAATATGAGAAACAGTTGGGAAACATTGGAGGCGAACTCAAGGATAATAGAAAGAGGTTTTTTGTAGCCAGCTGGGTGTCATGAAGGCTCATTGAAGTCACTCCGGTCACTATGAGTCAGGATGATGAAAATAAAATTTCATAATCCCTTTGTGAAGCCTTTGACTCCTCAGCCTACATGCTGCAAATATTTTGAGTGATGGCTTCCAGCCCCACCACATGAAGTCCCTCTTCTAACAGCACAGATGTTGCTCACTGGATACCTAAAGAAAGCCACAATCCAAGGAAAACTGCCAGCTTACTCAGTACAAATTCAAAATGGGTCAGAACCTTTTCAGACCAAAAAGCTACAACTCTTGTTGCATAGGTCCTGCTTTACCTTGGTCTTAACCATCCAGTAGAAAAGTATGAAGATGAAATATA